ATATACAAGTATTCGTATATTTGTAATATTCGAATAACAGGAATATAATGTTGGTGAAACAATAGATAATTACATTTTTATTAAGAATAAAAATACTGCATCTTAGATGAAAAAAAGCTAATGTTTAAATAATATAATATATTACAAATATATCCAGTGATACTCCTCATATAAATACAAGGAGTCATAAGAGTATTCGCACTCCCCTACAATATTAAATAATTATTATTTGCTTGTAATGCAATGTTTCCAAATTATCGAAAATTTGTATATACCACATATATATGTATCAAAAGAAAAAGTATTAGGTCGTCTGAAAAATATTTTTTGCTTATTTTTAGTAAGTTTTAGTACATCCTCAATTATTTATTATATATATATAATCCATTCTGTTATATTTTTCCATGTTGTATGTGAACTTACAATTGGTAAAATGATATAAAATAAAAAACTATAGCGTAGATAAAATTGATAAGAAAAAAACTATTAGAATAGAAAGAATATATTAAGTCAAAGGTGGGGGTAGGGGTGAGGGTAATTAATTCGGCTAAAATAAGAGTCAGTCCCTTGGTTAATGAAGTATTCGCGTAGGACTTAGGGGTACTACTCGCGCCGTTCCTGGATAGGTCGCGAGTGTCGATGATGGGGGTAAGAGGTTGTATTGGGCTGGCCCCTTGTCCCCTGGCGCGCAATGGGCCAGTCCTGCGCGTTACCTCGCCGGTCGCTTGGGTCGACCGGCTGCGCTTCATCAGTCGACATTCGACCGTGCAACGCGACCTACTATTAGTAAGAGCGTCCTCCTCGGTGCCGGTTCTTTCTAACTCGTGATTGCGCATTGCCGCAAGTATAGTTACCGCGATAGTAACAGGGGGAAAGGTATAGCCCGTCAGCAACAACAGCTGCCCGCACCAATTTATTTTTTAATTCTTATTTCTTTTTTTTTCTCTCTCGCGATCATAACGTTTCCAACCTTTCTCTAAATAATAATAATAATAATAATAACAACTTGTATTAGAGAGAAGTTTTTAGCGCGAATCGCTGCAATTTGTGTTTTGAAATTTTGATACAATCGAAAAAGAAAAAAAGAGAGAAATATTGCGAGGAAGAGGAAGATACTAGATAAAAAAGAGAAAGAGAGAGAGGGATAAAAGTTTGAAAGCGGGGAGGGGGAAGAAAAGATCAAGTGTCGGTAGTGTGGCAAGTGTGCGCGGGTGTGTTTAATTTAAAGTTGCGGTGGATGATACGAAAGAAAGATTGTGGGGGGGTGTATCATAGATCCATCGACCTATTTTTATTTTTCATCGTTTGTTTCCTCGTTGACTCCTCCTGTCATCGGCTCGTCATCGTGATATTTTACTTGCTCGTGTTACGAGTCGAAGAAGAAACCATCGACGAAGCAAGCAAGCAAACAAGCAAGCCAGCCAGCCAGCAACGGAATGTGGCACGAGGTGAGTTAGCAGCTCGCCCGGTTTCGCTTAACCGCGAGAGAGAAAGAGAGAGAGAGAGAGAGAGAGAGAGAGAGAGAGAGAGAGAGAGAGGTTCAGGGACGGACTCCTAAAGTCCCTGGACCCTTTTTCGACCTAGGACCACTTCGATTTAGGCCCTTCCATCCCCCAATCCTCATTTCTTTTTTCTCTTCTTATTATCTTCTTTCGCGCGCTCATGCGCTCTTTCTCTTAACTATAACTCCCATCCTCCTCTACTACCATCAACCCTATACCATACATATACAACTCTTCTTTAGGTACTCTTGCTTGACTTGTAATTTTTTTCCGAACGCATTCGAACCTCCCGAAAAAAGAGGGCCGATGATGATCGATTCTTCGAAAATTGATTTGCGATCGCGAGAAAACGTGTTGCCGGTCGGGATAACGTTCAATGTATTTTCGTAGAAACCTTACGAAAGAAGATTTCAAAGAATCGACAAGACAACTCCTTCTTTCGTACTTTTCCATTTTATTATCTTATTGTCGAAGATGAAATTTTTACGTATCTTTTATCTTTAGTATCGATCTAATACAAACTAATATAATAATTAATCGATATTTTTCTTCATTTTTAGAGAAAAAAAAAACGAATACTCGTTCGTTGTATCTTTTTCGAGATAAGAAATTATTCGTGTTACGAAGTTATGTTCACGCGACAGATGTAACATTTTTGAAAGGGCGATCGATAGGTACGTTACCTTTTCAATGGCTCAATCGACGTTAAGAGGGGAAAATGGAGGGATGATTAAAATGCTTTCAACATTCCTAACGTACGATTCTCGCACGAAGCTAACTTCTATTTTATGAGATAATAAATATTGATTACACGATGTTTTATATTTATCTTTATGTAGTTAAATGAATATAAAGAAAAAGTAATTCGATTTATCTAACTGTTCTGGTAGGTATTAGATAGTATACGCGATTATCTTACCCCCATCTTTTTCCTCGATCACGTGTACCGGATCGTTGTTTTCTATGGCTTCCGTTTGCTATGCTAAACTAACTCGCGTTTTCTTACCTTACACAGTCAACGAGAACGCAGCCGTCGTTCAACATTTTCCGGGCTCCTCTTCCGAGACTCTTCCGGGATTCCACGATGGAAGATCTCCCGTTTGGTAAATTCAAAAATATTATCGTTTAAACGATATTTATCATTTACAATTAATTTTACAATCGTTGGAAAGTAAACAAATCGGTCGGCCAACTTCTCTTCCGAGATAGAAACAAAAATGTTAACACTATCGAGCTGGCCAATGATGAATATATATATCTCGGAAATTTTTTAAATAGTTTATATTTAAATAGATATTTATTAGGCCCAAGCCCCCTCCCCTTCCCGCAGTATTTTGCTTTCGATCAAATTGATTCGTTGAAAATTAAAGAGAGAAAGTAAGATGGTAGAAGATTAACGTTTTTGGCGTATCATTATCGATAGATCTAAAGTTTGCTCAATAACAGCCAATGAGTAATTTCTTCTAGTTGATTTCGAAGCTTACGTCGACACGGCCCTGAGAGAAAGAAAGAGAAAGAAAGAAAGAGATAGATAGAGAGAGAGAGAGAGAAGAGAAGTGGCCTCGCGATTCGTGTACGCAAGATATTTTGTATCCGTTACTCCCTCGAACGCATTCCATCTCGTTGGATCTCACGCGACATGGATCGATTCGTCTTTGAACGTGCCTCTCCTTTAGAGTTTTAGATCGAAATCCGAAAGGCATTATATTTTTCCCTTCTTTTCTTTCTTTTTCTTTTTGTTTTTTTTTTTTTTATCGATATATTTCACATATAACATATTTAATAATACATTTTATTTGGAACCAAGCTCGCATCGATCAGCAATCTGTTAAGTTAACAAGTTAATCGTTTGATCAGTCCGACCGTAAGTCAAATTATTAGGGTGAACCAAAAGTTCATGCGTTTATTCTGTTGAAACTTTACTTTTGAAACTGCATAATGGATTGTTTTTTTTTCTTTTTTTTTTTCTTGTAAAGTTTACTTTGAAAATATTAATTTAAATAATGCACGAACTTTTGGTTCACCCTAATATATATATAGATGAAATCAACATTGTGAACATTGCGAAGCTTAATAGTAATTGAATGGAACGATCTTCGAGCTGCGTTATGATGATACAGGGGTGTGGGGGGGAGGCGGTTTGGATGGAAGAGTCACACGCGTCGATTGAGAATTTTTTGGAAAGTCTACGAAAGACATTATTTCTAATACGTTGAAATTCCGTTAAAGTCCCGTAGGGCCCACCACCAATGCTTCTCGTTCGTTCGTTCTCTCACGTTTCTAACATCATCGTAAATCGGACGTTAAGGCCTGCTTGGTTCGTCCGCCTTCTCTTGTAAGCCGAACCCCGAAAAAAGATAGACGGATAGAAAGAGAAAGAGAAAGAGAAAAAGAAAAAGAGAGATGTAGAGAGTGAGCGAGTAAGAGAGATGAAGGCACATCGAAGGTTGGCTCTCGTAGCAAAGGCACTCCTTAGTTCTGGCTCAAGGTCGGACTATTAAGAGGCTAAAGCACACTGACGGGTTTACGTCCTTCTTACGGGGAAGAGTTCTTCGCAGCTTTGAGCAGCGTTAGCGGAAACGCACAAGAGTAAGAAGAGAAGTATAAGGGAAAAACGAGAGAGAGAATTATCAAGAGGAGAGACTTTAATGCCTGGTACCACACCGTAACGAAGATTCTTTGCGGGAAAAAAAAATAAATGGCACCGTTGATTTCGTTCGACGCTTTATAAAATTTCTTTTAGCTTTTGGATGATCTCTCTTCCTTTCTTTCTCTTCCTTTCTTTCTCTTCCTTTCTTTCTCTTCCTTTCTTTCTCTTTCTCTGTCTTTCTTTCTTTCTTTCGACAGGTAGTAAAGTCGACTTGTGCCGACAAATCGATTCGATTCGATCTCTCGAGCCGTTACGCAAAAGTTCGCGGTACCGTATCGAAACGGTTGATAAGCGACGACCAAAGCATTTTTTCTTTCTTCTTTTCTTTTATTATACGTATTTTTAATATACACACTTTATACTTAATCGTTAACACTTGTTTTTTTTTTCTTTTCCCGCATACACTTTTCGATCATTCGTTTAGCCAAATCCATTAAAACTTCACGAAAGGAAAAGGTATCGCAAAATTGATAAACGATTACGTAAATCTATTGTAATATATGTTTAAAACATTATTGTTGATAAAATTGATTTGATTTGATTTTTATTCTATGGGATAAACCTATTAATATAGAATTTTATAAAAGAGGTCAGGTAAGAAATAGAGATTGTTTTCAGATAACTTATGTTAGACAATGTTTGATAGATGACATAGACCGATTAAATAAATCTATATATACCGATCAAAATAATTTACATTTCTGAGATAATTGTTATTAGTACAATTAAAGTAACCATAGAGGAAGTGCGATGATTTAACAAATCATGGTTTCGTAGATTTTTTTTGATGGAACATTGACTGAGAATTATAAATAATATTCTCAAAAAAAAATCTAGTAAAAAGAGGAAAAAGAAACATGGCGTTTAGTTTAGCAACGTGTCGTTGAAGATTTTTTTTTCCAAGGAAGCCAGATGAAATTTGTCGAGCTACGCGTTATTAGAAGCACATGGGGGATTCTTCGCTTGCTCGTCCAGCTCGCAACACACACACACATACAAATATATATATAAACACATAGGCATACATGGGGGACACACGGTTGTGATCATCGCGCATATCAGAGGACTGGATTCGCCGTGAGCTTCGTATTCTTACGAAGCCGCGTATTAACCGCAAGGACTCGTTTCAGCTTCGGCCGATGTTAGGGCGTGTCACCAACGACTACAACGACAACGACAACGACAACGACGACAAAGACAATTCCTAAATTATTTCACAAAAATCGTTCGTTAGAGATCAGCTAATGAAAAAGAATCTTCAAAATTGTCTTTCAAGTTTGAACAAGTTGAATCATTCCATCTCTCGTTTCTCTATGTGTACGTAAGTACACTTGAGAATATTCGAGAGGGTATGGGATTAACACTAGAACTACCGAAAAAAAAAAAAAAACGAAGCTACTTCTACCGAAACCTCAGTTGAGAAATGACTGGTCATTAAAAAAAAAAAGAAACGTAAAAATAGAATATTTTTTTTATTTATTATTATCTTATAAAAAGAATTCAAGAGAGGTTATGGAATTACAACTATTTAATGCCAATTATAAAAAATATAATAATATATAATTATAATAAAATAAACCTATATTAAATACCTTCGATAAGGTATCCCATGTACTTCCACGTTACGGCTTCGAAAATTATAATAGTGTGCGTTGGTGAGGAGAATTGTTGGCGATAAAAAAAAAACTCGTCAAACACAGGCATGGGTCTGTATTGACCTAAAACCATCGTTGCGTTTCTTCCTCATCTTCTTTTTCTTCTCATTCTTTTTATTTTTGTTGTTTTTGCCATAGTTTGAATCATCCATCTCTTGATGGAAATTTATGTAATAAATTAGAAAATATTTCGTTAATGTCGCAATTGTTCATAAAATTCGATTCTCGAATTCTAATTTGTCGTTAGTTTTCGTTAACGTTCTTCATCGAATTAGTTACGCACAAGAGAAACATTAAAAGCTAATTGAAAGCAAGGTTAAAAGGAAATCTCCACTCAAAGATTACTTTATGTTGTTCCCGTAGATACATTCTCACGTTTTCCCACGGATTCTTTAGAAATCCTCTTTACCCCTCTCTTTCTCTCTTTCTTTCTTACCATTTCTTGCGACCTCAGCAAGCTTCTCAAAATTATACTAGTGGATTCTAAACAAAGTCCTCGCGGAAGCCAAGAGGTAAGGGGAGGTAGAGGAAGAAATTTTCTTCCTCGTGGAAGAAAGGGGCCGTGAGAGAAAATAATTTACGCATCTGTAGATATATTAGAAGTATAATAGTTGAAACGTTTATACATTAATGTTAAGAAA